TTGCAAATAAGCTGACAGCTCACCTGATGGATAATGGTAACCGTCGTATGAACAACATAGATATTATAGAATATACAAAAATAAGGAGAATTTTCTTTTGAACAAAATGAAGCACGCCATTTTGTTTGTACACCAAGTGTTACAAATTAAGCTGTAGACTCGTTTTCCGGAGCCTTAATTTTTCAATTAATAAATAGATAAATAGATAGATAATTTATTTGCATTACTTACAGCACACAAATTACAACATATATAGATATACATAAAAAGCGAGATAACATAAATGATTAAAAAAACATACATAAAGCTAAATACAATTTTTCGTTTGTGCGTGTGCCATAACAATACAGAATGGTCACAACTCAGTTTATGGATTCGTCCTCAAAAGAGCAAAGCATTGATATTCTGTTGCGGCCAAAGGAAATAGGGCAACAATAAAACAATACTACCAGATTATCCATACCGTAAATAGACAGATATACAGTAAACAGACAGATATGACAGTTTATCTAGATATCTGACTTTTGCCTCTCAATTAAGAATTTTTGTAAATTTATTTTAAAACTGGAATTAGTATAATTCTTACTGCTATTGTTTCCTGCGTTTCTCTCTTTTTTAATTCTAGTATTCAGTACGATGCACCTACCTAATAAAAAAGGAGGGAAAGAAATTTGTTGGTAATGGAGTTTGACAACCCCATTGCTAGCAATATGCCCTATTAGGTCGACCTCCACGTGGTTCCCTCTGGAAACCACGACCATGAAACTAACCTGCTTCATCCTCACTTATCATCCATCACTGGTGCCCCGCCAGTGTATACCGATAGCGCGGGTGGGGTTACCATTCCATTATCACCAATAAAAAAAATACAATATATTAGGTAGGGAGGTATTCAAGGGGAGATGGTTTCAGATCGAACTCTACGCGGTCTCTGCTGAAAACCATTCTAGTTAATTCCTAGCTTATTCGCCACGATGATCCAGCTGACCTGACTTCGTCCTCGACTGATGCCTTACCCATTGTATACTGTTAACATAGGCGAGTGTACCGTTTCATTTTCAGCTATTAAAAAAAAGTACAATGTGCATAGTCTAAGTTAAAACATCGCTAAAGCCTAATTGCGGTTACCAACCCGCCTGCCAAGCGTACCAACTACTGGCAAAATTCCCCTTATGGGCGAGGCCTATGTTCAGCAGTGGACAGTTAACGGTTGATATATTATTAATAATAATATAATAATGCAAAGTTTTGAACTATTTTAACTAATATTATAAAGAGAAAAGATATGAATTTTTGTTTGTAATGGATAATCTCTAAAAATACTAAACCGATTTTGAAAAATTCTTTCACTTATAGAAAACTACATTATTTATAATATTTATATATTATTTACAAAAAAAAAACATTACCTATCTACTCGTACGAAGCCGGGACGGGTGGCTAGATTATAATATTTTATGAATGTAAAACATAGCGAACGCCATGTAAAGTAAGTACGTGCCACAAAGAAATGTCAATAGAGTAAAAATATCAATTTTCAATTCGGGCATTCGACAATGGACACGGGGAAGTCGCCGAAATTAATACGTCAGTCTGAATCAATTCCCGATCAAATCCCGTTTTCTGGGTGAGGGAATATATTTTATATGTTGAAATATTAAATCAGCATTTGTAACAACTTCTGTATACGGGTCTATAATGTCAAAGGTTAAGAATAAATTGAATGAATATTGAGTGGGTACATATATATAGATACATATATATATATATATATATATATATATATATCTATATATATATATCTATATATATATATACGCACACATCTCTCACTTAATGTTACTTTTCTTTTTATAATATTAATTAAAAAAAAAACTAAATTATTGCATTTTATTAACGACAGATCACAGTGTTGTTTTTAAGTTGGAACTGTGACTAAATGTGAAAATTTGTTTGTTTGATACATATTACAATGCAACTAAATCATAGATGGAATATTATATCTACTATATGCACACAACTGCACACTATGCGTATACCATATGTACACAATTTTTCTGCACTTAATTACTTGCTAATCATTTCCTATCTCACTGCATTAGGTTGGTTGGGAGAGATCTTTTTCAGAGATAGGTCCATCCTTGCTAACAAGTTGTAATACCACTTGTTGTATAGCTTTACCAATTTAGTAAATAATTTATATATGTATATCCCTGAACGAAACCTATGTCTCTGTCAACTAATCAATAAAATCACATTGTCCAATATTTTTTTTTCTTTTCACTTTTCTTATTGATGAAATTCTTCTACATGATAGACGTCAAACCGTCATCGACCAATCACAAGTATAAAATATCAATTTTCGCCTTTTTCAGAGGGACATTTATGTTCCTAATAGCTAATTTTTCTTTTGTCAGGCAACTCTGGCATTGATTAATGTTGATTCCATAGATTGGGAATATTTTATTATTTTTATATGAGTCGTTAACTGTTCAATACTGAACATAGACTTTCCCCATAAAGGGAATTTTGGTAATAGTTGTCACGCTTGGCAGGCGGCTTGGCAACAGGTTTTTGGTGGTGTTTTAAGAGGGACGCTGCTGTCTATCCTTCGACCATTACATTTTCTTAGTCGCTTTTTACAATATTTACAAGAAAGGAAGAGGTGACCTTTTCTATGCCGGATCTACACAGCAATCTTGAGATTTCAGATTGAGGATGAGTACCTTTTAATTCATAATACCACTTTGAGTGTAACAAATTGTTGAAACTCTGATACTACCTAATTATTTAATTTCTGTTTAAAATATATCAATAAATTATATTGTTAGCTGTTTATAAAACTAAGAATCAATTCATGGTGATTAAAATTCACACTCGTTGGAATAGAAATTTCGAGAATCATTTCATAAAAGACCAAAAAATTTTATGCATCTTATTAATTCAGCAGCACGACACGATGTGGTAGTACGAGAGGCGTGTTTTTTTTTGTTGTTGTTTATCGACCCATATTCCTTTAGGAAAAAGTCATTCAATTTCATGGATAAAATGTTCTTTTAAATGGTTAATGATTGCAAGTGATTTCCACTTTACCCTCGACAATATGCGACATCAATTAACGTACCTACATCTACGTCTCAAATACTAAGCTCAATTAGTAAAGATTCCTAAATATATAATAGAGTTCATTTATTATTAAATCATTGAGACTTGCTTGTAATTTATAAGTATAGCCACTTATTCGAGATAATATTCGACTACGTAGCGACGGTAAGAAAATGCGGTTTTATTCTATCTTGTGTACATACTTTATTATATACATTGTTACATATTGTTATTAAAGAGCAATTGTTTATTAAAAAGTATATAAAATGCAATCCTGTATAGTTTCGGCATAGAATAGGCCCCTTTTTTTTATTTTACCGCAGGTGTCATGAGAGGCGACTAAAGGAGGGCGAGCAAGCGCTCTGGAGGGAGGCTTCTGTTCAGCAGTGGACAGTTAAAGGCTGATATATATATATATATATATATATACTTGTGTATATATATAAAATGCAACTATAGAAAAGCTTTGCTTAAAGTTTCTAAACAACGATAAGGTGCCAGTATTTCACACTACACAGTATTATCATCAACTATAATTTTGATAAAATTTCTGTAGGATCAATCTGAAAGTATATTGTTTCAGATAATGAAGTCCAAATCGTTTTATAAATAATCGAAGTAACAAGGTAGCAAACAAAAATACAACCGAATTGAGAACCTTTCTCTTTTTTTAATGCCGATCTTACAAAGAAATCGATAACGAGACGCCATTATCTTATTTCTAAAATTTTAATTTAATATCACAGCGAAATCTTTATTTTAGAAACCTATATGACTAATTTTTTAAAAGATTTTATTCAAAATTATTATAAACTAACTAATGAGCAAGGTTTCAGTTTCTTATAATTTGTTGATTGTCTATGATTCTCTCCCTTCCGTTCAACGCGCTCGAACAAGCAAGCGTGCTTCTGCCATTATATTTCAGTTATTTAGTAAATTATAACAATATAACGCATTTTGTGTGTTTAAAAGAAGTAAATCAGAAAATAATTTTAAGTTTCATTTACCAACTCATCAAAACCACGTGTGCCCACAATCAAACATTGTTTACGTGGATAAATATTCTATATTCTAAACTATCAAATTAAAATATATGTAAGTTAAGAGATATATTTCGAAATATAACGCCTCAGTACCGATCCAAATGTTGAGTTAAGGTGCTTTAACAATCAACTGTTTCTTTTCAAGTGATCGGTTTATTGTGTGCATCTTACGCAATTCTTCCTTCGTTTTCCCCCCATCGTTTTAATTTTCCGGTTGTCATACACAATCATATCATACACGTGCCTGGAACGTAAAAACGACGGGCACGTGTACACGGCTTGTGTGTGCAATTGTGGCAGATAGCAACAAACTTAGGTAACGATGTAAACCACGCAATACAAATGCTCGTGTCCTCATCATGACACAGTTCCGTGAAATTTGTTGAAAAAATTAATCTTTTTACAAATAAAGATTTTTAGCAATTATTATGTCTTTATGAATAAAGAAAATACATAAGTATTCATTGGTCTAAAAAAAAGCAATTTCAATCGTGAAGACAAACACAATACATACTGATGAAATTATTATTTTTCATTACCATTTATATCACCGGTGACAAATGAGTAAAAGTGATTTACACTAATGATTTCATTTTACACTCGCTACTATAAGCTATTTTATAAATGAAAAAAAAAAAAAAGAATTATGATTTTTATAGTAAGAGTGAGCGAATAGACTTTAACGTAGTGTGATGAAATTTCTATTTTCCCGTTCAATCAACCGTCTGCGACATAGCTGGTGTGACGTATAATTTCGCAAAACAAATGACATTTCACTTGTGATATGTGAAATATTCCAAACCAATTAAAAACAGTTTATTATAATAGTGAAATTTAACTACAAGTACTTACGTCTTACTCTGACCGTTGGTCGCTTGAATGCTGTTCGTAGATATGGCATTGACATGACAAGCTCGATTTGTGGCGGTGGAGGGAGCTGAAAGAAAGACAATAACGCATTTATTGCAGTGGTACTTTTAAACATATGGATAGCTGGGTATTTTCCTTCTATGTAATACAAAATGGCAAACGAGCTGATGATCTATCCAATAGAAAGGAGTGATCGTTGGCTACAGAAATGACAAGCATCATATATCGTCATAGTCGTAGAATACTGACGGTTCTGACAAAGATTACATATAAAGATCCGTCAGTATTCTACGACTATGGACGATATATTCTAAAATACACTAGGACATCCACGTTATCGTTTCATGCGTTGCGATTCCTGAGGACTCTACTGTTATGCCTCCGTACCCTGTAATTTTACTACTATATTTTTTCCTTCAAAAATACAACCATGCTACAATAGCATAGCTGCATGCCAACAGAGATACCCAAACAAATACTAAGTTTTTTATTTATTTTTTATTCACAAAGTCTTTTTCTTTTATCTGAACAAACATACTAAAGTTAAATAAAATAATTAAATACTGAAGTTAAGTTAAATTCTATTTTGCCCATTTACTCACGGGGAATCTATTATCGGCTTTGTAATCTATGTAAAACTTTATTAACTCATAATTATACTGTTATAAGTTGCTAATTACTTAAATAAATAAAATTAAGGCCGCTTTTACAGACGTAAGTTTTACTCAAGTAAGTATAGTCTTTATCAATAGAACATAATTAAATGGTAATCAAGTTTTGTTGAGATTACCACATAAATACTCTGTAAATGAACTTAGTAATAATTCGTAACTTACAATCCTTCAAATTATATTATTTATTTGTACATAGGACATCTGCAAATTGTCTTATGTACGGTTTAATTGCTTGATTATTTAAATTTTTATTGCTATTATTAAAATAAAAAATAGCAAGTGTAAATACTCTAGTCAATTATGTAGTGTTAATAGATCTATCAGTTAATTTAAATTACTATTTCAATTTAATATTTTAAACTGTTCTACATTTTAAACAATTTAAATGTAAATTATTCATGTGTTTAATTTTAAATTTGTGCATTACACACAGAAGTGTCTCTTGTGTTTAAGTTCTTTGTTATTTGTATTTCACAAATAAAATTTATTGATTGAACTATTTACTATAATAACTACGTAATATACTTACGTGAGTATAACTTACAAAAGTAAAGGTTTAAAGAATGTACCTTCCGAGTATTAATAAATATAAATGGGTAATGTGTATATTGTATAAGGGCGCATCATTCACTTACCGTTTTTGATATTGCTTGCATCCATTCCCTTAAGCAGCAAAAAATAGAATGTACAAGAAATTATCAATAATTATATATACTTGTATATATATATAAATAATATATATATACAAGTTATAAAACCACTGTAGTGAATTTCTAACATATACCCATAAAAATATCTTGACTTTCTATTTCCATCATTGAACGTGAACAGTCATCATCATCATATCTGCTACTAACCATAACAGTTGGGGGGCAAGGGATTGTTAGTTATGGAGAGTGAGAATCCCATTGCTAGCAATATACCCAACCAGGTCGACCTCCTCGCGGTTCCCCCTGGAAACTATCATGGTTAATTCCTGATGAATTTATCATGATGGGCTAACTGGCCTGTTTTAATTCTCATCTATCACCCTTCACTGGTGCTCCGCCAGCGTATCCCGTTAGCGCAGGCGGGGTTACCATACCATTTCCACCCATCAAAAAAAAAAACCATAACAGTTCACTGCTAGACATAGGTCTTCTTCATAAGAGGGATTTTACCTGTAGTTGCCATACTTGGCACGCGATTTGGTAACCGAAGTTACCTGCTGCTGCCCATATCTCGACCATTAAGTTCCTTTAGTCGCCTCTTACGACACCCACGGAAATATATGTAAACTATAATTGGTTTTTATTTATTCAATCATTCACGTTGATATTCTGAAGAAAGTATTTATCTTTAAGATGAATTTGAATTTGTAATGATTTTTTTTTTATCGTTGTACTTCCACAGTATAAATGATAAAGTGTATCAATATGAGGAAGTGACCATCTCTCTAGCTGACCCTCTCCCCTTTCCGCCCATTCGCCTTTTATCTAAAATCCTGATATATGACCGTACAAAAAAGGAACATACCGGGTGTTATACATGTAAAGGTAGTCATGCGTACGTCACCTATACTAATATTATATAGAGGAAAAAATTTGATTGTTTATAATAGATAAATTCAAAAATCACTCAGCCGATTTTAAAAATTCTTTCACCTTTAGAAAGCTACATTACCAGCGAGTAACATAGGGGTATTTTATTTCCGAAAATTCTATCTACCTGTGTAAATCGGTAGTAATACTGCGTGCGTGTGCGTGTGTGTGCGTGCGTGTATATACCTATGTATATGTAGCGTGTGTGTGTTACACAAGTTCAGTGTTTTTTCTCCAACCTAAAAACTAACGAGCCTAAAGAAGCTTTCATATAATTTTTATCAAATATATTTACTTTCAAATATATTATGGCAATGGGGAAATAGAATCGGTTTGAAGGGTGGGATATGACAGTGAATTTACAGGGTACAGAGAAATACACCTGAGTTCTCAGGAATGACAACGCATGGGGGTATCATGAGCGAAACAGTATACTCTGTTATGTCCATGGTACTGCTCATGTCTATAGGCGACGGTTACCACTTTCCATCAGGTGAGCCGTCAATTTGTTTGCCATTCTAAGTTGTATAAAAAAAAGAGAATGCAATTAGCAAGCATTACAAGTGGAACGACAAAAGAATGCCTATGACCAGCATTGGGTATATGTGGGCTGATTTGATAGATAGATTATACAACTACAATCCTTAATAAGGTAATCAGAGGCTCGAATCAATTGCTGCTGGTGTGAACAATATAACACACGACATGCCCATGTTTCGTCAAACATTTAAAATCCAAAAAATAAAAAAGTCAATAAATTTACTTTATAGAGTTTTTTACTGATTGGCCCATTCAAGATGATAATTATACAAGGCCGCGGTCACTCCCAGAAGCGTCGCAAGTTCAGATTAATTAGACAAACAAAAACAGCCATTATTCTACAAAATCCGTAAAACGGTGAAAAAAAAAAAATGGTTCGCAAAAGGTCGGTAAATGCCCGATATGTCACTGGGTACCCGAAGTACGGGTCATCCCTACGGATTAATTTTATTTCAGCTCAACGCCTTTACGGGGCCCGAGTGGCTAGGTACATAACGCTGACAAAGGTAAATCTGGCCTAGCCACCTACTTTAACATTAAACCCTATATATGTCGCAGGAAAATGAGGATATCATACTCTATTTTGATAGAACTTAACCAAAAGATGACCAAGTTTTGTTGAAATAATCATAGAAACAATCTCTAAATTAATTAAAGATTGTGTCCCACAAAAAACAAACGACTTCAATCGGTAAGTATATCCTTACAGACAAAGGAAACAATTTTCAAATTGGTTTAGAACTGATGGAGTTATGAGGTCATAAAGATAATAAAAAAATACTGTGAAATTTAGAACCTCCTTTTTTGAAGTCATTTAATAATCACCTCTTTTCCTTCCGCTTTTATATTTGTATATAACATAGGTGTCTTTTTAAATACCTCGTGAAATTTGCTTCTTAATGTTAGTATTTCATTAAAATTTATTTTGGCAAAATTTTATAAATTCCTGGTAAATTTATTATTAAAGTCACTGGTACTCTGCCAGCGTATCCCGATAACGTAAGCGAAGTTACCATTTCATTTTTATTCATTAAAAACGTCCACATTTGATTCCTGGAAGTTTAAGGACCCAAATGTAAGCCAACATACAATTAGCAACCTAAAACCGTACTTAAACTAAGCAAGATTTCAGTTCAATGGCGTCCATAATACTAAAATACAAGCCACTGAACCCGAATCCTAAGAATACCCGAAGGTCCCGTGAAATTGAAAAGATTAAGGGCCTATGCGCTTTACAGCGTAAGTCCCTAATATATACTTATTTATTTAATTGCGTGGATTACGCGATAGACCGTAGCTGTAAGTGGGTAACTTTTCATAAAAAAAAGCGTCTTAAACTTTTAAAAAAATTGTGAGATACGTTCTGGTTCTGTACCGCGTGGTTCGGGCAAAGTATGGCCATCCCTTTCTTTCGCATGGGTGTAGTAAGAGGTGGATGTCGTAAGAGGAAAACATCGCCTATAGACATGAGCAGTACCATGGACATAACAGAGTATACTGTTTCGCTCATAATACCCCCCATGCGTTGCCATTCCTGAGGACTCAGATGTTGTTCCTCTGTACCTTGTAAATTCACGCCATATCTCACCCTTCAAACCGAATCACAGCCATGCAAACACAACTGCTTTACGGTTGAAACATGAATGGGACAGAGGTATCCAAGCAATCGACTTTTGTACAAAGTCTCCCTCTGGTTGCAGTGGATAGTTAACAGCTGATATGATGATGTAGAATGAGAACAATAGAAGCTTTTTAGAATTAATTTTAGAAATTTTATCTGTCTGCATGTTTGTTCCGGCATCACGCGAAACCTATTGTACAACATAAAATTTTGTTTTCTACAGTTGTGTTCCCAAAAGTCGAGCTCTAAAATTACGTTATTTTTTTCTTAGCTCGACTTGGAGATTCTTCGATCTGGAGAAAAATTATGGCTACCTACTTCTAAAGACTATGAGTGGGGGGATAATGGATTTTAAAAAATGGGGATTAGTAGCCCCATTGTAGCAATACACCCTGTCAGGTCGACCTCCTAGCGGTTCCCCCTGCAAATTATCGTGTTCTATTCCAAGTGAATCCATCACGATAGGCTAGCTGACCTGCCGTTTCATTGTCACATCTCTTACTGGTGCCTCGTCAACGAATACTATTAGCGCGGATGGGGTTACCATTCCATTATCATCCATTAAAAAAAATACTATGAGTATGATGTCATGGATAAAAGCTAGCTTTTAAATTAATTTTAAATCACAAACTATTCTGGTTGGTATATTAATAGCGATATTTGTATATAAAATGAGAAATCCATTGCGGATTTATACTATGCGACCCTCGTCTATTCGCCGACACGGGTTACCATCTTCATTTCATTTAAATTTATGTATTTCTACGTCTGTTGCCACTTATTTTTAATGCTTTATTGTCTATCCTTGTTAAATTTAAATATACTTTTCAAGGTAATCCATGTCGTTCGATAGTCTTTGGTATTAGAACTTTTTAATGATTCAGATTTTGTTTCAAAAACAACAACTTCAAATTAAATATTTATATCGTAGATGCAGAAGGCACTATATTCCATCTATGGTTTATATTAAACCAACACGGAAGTAAATGCCAAAGAATGCAAAAAGTGAATCATTATTGTCACCATATCAGCCACTGTTGAACATAGGCCTTCCCCATAGACTGTCATAAGGGACGTGGCCATTTCTTATGGCATTTTACCATTGAAGGGATTTTGCATGTAGTTGCCGCGCTTGGAAGGTGGGTTACCAACTGCAGTTTGACTTTTAAGAGGGACGCTGCTATCCGCATTTCGATCATTGAGTAAAGGGGTGGTTTATTCTATGCTGGGACCACACGGCAATTACGGCACACGGCAAAAACAGACCAAACCCAAAAAACATCAATCAACTTGGCTTCGATAGATTAGGATATTTTTTTTAAATTATTATGGTGCCAAAAAAGCATTCGGCCCGTCTAATGGTAAATGGAGTTATCGTAGTCTATGGACGTCTTTAAGAAACTTTGCCGACCTTTAAGAAACCTTAATACGCGCTTTTTTAATAACCCCATAAGAATTATCCTATAACTATGCCAATACAGAAAATGATCCATCTTTATACCAAATTCATTGTATATCATGTTAAAATCACACACACACACACACACACACATAGTCACATTAAAATTTGCAAATATCTCAGCTGTCATACAATTAATCAGCTTTAGTAAGATTCTGGGATACCATTATTTAAATACCTAAGTTTTAATTGAATAAAATTAGTTTTATTCTCATATTTCTATAGCTAAAACGATTCTATGGCTTCACTGAATGCCTTTTACGTCTAAATTTATTTTATCAATAAAACTATAAAAATAAACAATAAATAAATATACGTGACTTAAAACACAAAACATATAATTTTTTGTGTTTTGACTCACGTATATTTAAAATATTTAAATCACCACGCGATTTTTCTATGTATTTTTTTAATTTTCCTTTTTTTATTTGTTTTACAATTAATTACGGAAATACATACAAGG